TGTGTGTTTGAAATTACCTTAAGTAAAGATGAAGAAGAATAGAAGTAACCGAAAGAAAAAGCCCTCACAGAGGAAGCCAAAGGACAATACAATGATGAAGCAATTAAGGAGGAAAAGGAAACCATAAGATGGAAAATAAAAGGCAGAAGGACAGCCGTGTGTGTCAAAGATTGCTGMCATATCAGAGAAGATGGGAACTGCTCTGAGGATTCACTGAAACATGGYAGGTAGAAATTGTGACAGACCACTCTGATGCCTAAGGTATAKAAACCAGATTGGAGAGGGTTTAGGTGGATGTACCAGATTCCAAGTAATGAATTTAAAGATTCAGTTTACTGACCTTGGGATGAAACGCAAGAGGGAGACGGAGCAGACAGAGATGCTGAAGAGACAAATGAAGTCAGGAGTGGGATGGGAAGACTTAAAGCAGGAGGATGGAAAGAACAGTTATGTTTGCTTGTGACCTTTGGAAATTTATATTRTGAGTCTAGCAGGGGTCAGTGTACGGAATACTGGTTGCCACTGCCTTTGTCTGGCTCTGATTTGTGGTGTGACTGTAAAAAGTATCACACACAAACATACTTCAGTTATTTTCTTCATTTAGATCTCTGCCTGTGGGCTATTTTGTTTGTCTTCTCCTCGAGGTTTGCCACTGGCGTGACAAACAGTGCTCAACAGAGGAGGAAGCTTTAGAAACACAAAAATTAAAGAGGGAAAATTCCTCTGTAAAAGATCAACTAGCCCACTGTGCTTGGTAGGCYAAGGGATAAACACTGTGTTGTGCTTATTTAAAATACCACAAGAAGTCTCCCACAGCAACTGCTCCACYAGGCAGTGGATCTTACAGCCAAGCCATTGTAACAGTACTCATCCTAATCTTTTTGCCTTTTTGCCTTGTTTCATCTTAGTTTCTCCCTCCTCACAATACCAAATGCTCTCACTTCTRTAAATTGTAATAGTTGTTCTCCCACAACTGTGACTATTTTAGTATTTTAGAACAACTGTCCTACACACCGTGCACAGCTGTATTTGGTTCTTTCATCTCACATGACAGAGTCTCTAATTCAATCCTCATCACTTCTGCCTTTTTTAAAAAAAAATTCATTTTTGTTTTCTGATGTCTTTTTGATGAGAAGATAGGATTGAATGCAGTATTCCAAAGATTTATACTACACTGCCAGTAACAGAGGCTTTTGTTACAGTTTCTGTTTATGAACTCTACTATCCCATTGTTCTCTTGTTTCTGGTTTTTTTTCCCCTCCCATCATCTCAAATTATGGGCCTGTCTAATTTASTGTCTGCTCTCCTGCTATTTTAGGTCTTTCTCAGCATTACATTCTGAGAATTCGTCTTCCCAATGAATTTGAATTTTTGAGCTGTGATTTGAATCATTTTTTGACAGATGTAGTAGTATAGCTGCATGTTTCCCTATGGAACTACATTTTGTTTCCTGAACACCATTTGTGCCAGAGCTTTGACTTGTAAAATTAATAGAATAGGATACCCCCAACCCCAGTGCTTAGAGGTGTTTCCTTCCCTTCCATCCCCAAGCTTGAAACCATAAAAATGAATATTAAATGGCAACTAAAGAAAAAATTCTGTAATTCTCTTTGAAAGAGCTGTTTAAACTTCATGGCATCACTGATACATGAAATTTTCTCACTACAGTCCCAAGAGAAARATGAATTGCATTGTTAAATAATTTCCAGTATAACTGTTACCAGACACATTCTCCCTGTCTCAGATGTGATGCGAGGTTGCTGCTCCCAGCTTACCCCATATGTGTGCCCCATACTCCTTGCTAGAATCTGCAAGGCAACTTCAAAATAGCTGTTGCCTAATCCTTTGTTGTCAAAATCATCAATTAAAATTGAAGTCAATTTTTTTTTGCTGGCCCCTCCTCCCTGCCACACACAGGACAGATGGATTAAATACCTGCTATCCTAGCAGATGGAAAGGGCAAGAGATGCTTGTGGATAGGATAAGAATAAAAGGTATGTTTATGACCTGTTATCCTGTTTCAGCTGCAACCCTCAGCTATTTGAAAATTAGTGCCAGAATTAGGAATGCTTTTCAGAAATGTTAATTCTCCTCATTGCCCTCCTCACAGACTACATTGTGGGTCTTTTCCCAGGACTCATTTCTGGGAAGCACATGATGCTGAAGACCTGTTGGGTCACACAGCCAAGGCAAAGGCAATGGGTTGTGGGTTCATCCCATCATCAAGAGCATTACAAGCAAACCAATAAAAGGTCACATCTGTTAGGCACAACTCTTGTGGTTAGGCTCTTATTGAGCAGCAGCTATGTAAGAGAGAGCAGGACGTGTGTGCTCAGTCTCGCTACAGAGTGCACTGCAGAGAGGATATGTGGTGTTAAGGCAGAGYGTCAAAAACAAAATTAAGGCTGTAGCTGTTTTTCACATACACATTCATTATAGAAATGTCAGCAGGAACATTGTTGATGCTGTCAGTTCACCTGCTTTTCAGTTCTCTGAGATGAAGCAGTGGGACAAGGCCACAGAAGAGCCCAATCCTTTCACAGACAGCACACAGCAGTGCATTTGCACCACATACTGTCTTTGGGGCAGAGACACCTGGGAATTATCACTTGCCTGTGTAAGGCAAGGAGCTTTCTTTGAAAACCATATTCTTCTCTTCTTGCTCAAACCACAGCTAAAAGGGGRAAAGGAGCAATTAAAGGTAATTTTTCTCATCTGTCAACCTGAACTAAAGTCTTTTCAGATCCCTTTCACTGCAGCTTGCCCAAGTGGGGTAAGGTAGTAGGGCAGGATTTGTACCTTATCTAACTTTGAAAGCTGGGTGTGTTTTGCATAGACTCAGATAGCTAAAGTTAGGTAAAATGAATCTCACCTAAGCTTTTTATCTCTTTTTGCTGGGCTAATATTTCTAGTTGTCTTTCTTGTCTGCCCTTACCATATATTAAAGTTTTCCCAGTACCTGCGCTCCTGCATAACGTAACTGGGGGYCCTCACTCTTAGACACAAAGACGATTTTCTTTCCACAGAATACTCACTTCTTCCTAATGAGRAAATCAAAGAGGACCTCTCCCTTCCTTCTGCTGTGGTGGCAGGGGTCTTTACAGCTCTTTCCTTCCTCTTCTCCCACAAGTGGGAGTCCAGCCATTCATCAGGATGGTCACAGTAAGTCTGCATTGTGGCAATGATGTTCCTTAGTGGTAGTTCTGAAGCTATTACCACATGGGTATGGCAACCAGCTTTTCCCCCATAAACTGTGTGCAGGAATTTGTCCTGCGCACAGGACACACCTGAAATTAATTGTCTAATTTCAATTCATAACCATGTGAGTTAAAATTTGAGGAAAGATGCCAGTTTGKGGGATGGTGCTTTGGGTTATTTTAGAAAACCTGGGAATTTCTCTCAGATGGAGCATACCACCTGAACAAACATGTCAGGTCACCATTCCCTTTACCTGCAAATTCCTTAGGATTTTTGCTGTGGAAAATAATTCAAGTACAATAAATCACATCCTTGCTTTGCGGTCAATCTTCCCACAGTGGTGGTCACTTCCCAGCTATGCCACGAGTTACAGATTGAGATCACCACTCAAACTCCACTTYAGCAATGCTATCTCTGAAAAGTAAATAACTGTTGGCTTGAAAAGCAGGTGCAGAATGAATGACAATAAGCACTTTTAATTATTAGTAGATTAACAGATTTTATATGTTGGGTAGGTATCCACTGCCATTGTAAGACATGAGTCTGGGACAGGAAATATGTTTTTGTATGTGTTTGTACAGCTTGCAGTAAAGTCTTGTTTCCAAGCCCAGTAGCGATTTTGTGATTGTAATAGTAAATCCTAACTGCCAGCAGCAGTGSGTAAGGTGAAGTTCACAGTACCTCAGACAGTCTTTGTTTTAAACACATAGAGACAGAAAAAAAGAGACATGAGAATACCTCCCACAAATGCATAGGCAAGTGTTCTTGTCTAAGGTTACTATGGATGTCTAAACGACTTAAAAGTGTTAAAGAATCCCTGCATGAGTAAATGGATTAACATACTGGTTTCAGAGTAGCATCAGCTCTTCTCATTCAGAGACCAGATACAACTCAGTTGGAAAGTTATGCTCTGAATTCTCTTAACMTGGAGTGCATCAGGTTACCAAGTATCATCAGTATGGTGCATAATTCACAAAAGGCTCCTAAAAAGTTCGAGAAAATAAGACTATTTAACAATTTGGTCTGTCTCCTTTAAGCACTGAAAAGTCTCAAGTGTTTTCAATTAACGAGTAGCTCTGCAAAAGTCAGGGTAACTGACTTACATGTTCCATGCGATTGCTCCCTGATTGCAACTAATTGCGGCTTTCAATCTCTTTAAGGACCCCGAATAACAAGTGGTTTTTTTTAAGCAGTTTCCTGTCTGATACCTGCTGTAGGCTGTGATAGCAGAATAGAGCAAACTGCACGGTGCAGCGGCTGCCAGAGGAACTTTGAACTATGAGATCAAAATAAAATAAGCCCTATCTTTAAACGGCACATCCCTTCCCCCGTGCTGCACGACCCGTTTCTTTGGCTGGGTGCGCCCCGAGCCGAGGAGCCGCCGGAGGTCCAGCATCTCCCGGGGCCGGGAGCCGGCTCTTCCCCGGCAAGGGCCTCCCGAGCTCCTCCATCCTTTCCATTCCCTTTCGCTTAAGGTCAGAAGAATTCAAACTTCCTGACTGGGACGGGACGGGACGGGACGGGACGGGCTACCCCGAGGCGAAACGGGCTGGGAGTCAAGGGAGGCAGGCGCAGCTGCCCCCGCTCCGCCCGGCCCGGCCCGGCCGGCTCTCGTCTCGGCGGGGAGGAGCCAGCCCGGGGCAGGCTGTAGCAGCAAGGGCTGGCCGGCCGCCAGGAAGTGTAAAATCCTGGCCGGTGGGTGGCAAATTTCCCCAGATCGCGGCGAGGAGGCAGCGCGTCCGTCCGTGCGTGCGGCGGGCAGCGGCAGCCCGGCAGCCCGGCCCGGGTGAGTGCGAGCCGCGACCTCGGGCTCCGGCCCCGCTCGGCTGTGGGGGCTCGGGGGGCCCGGCCCGGCCGCTCTGCCCGCGGGGCAGCGAAGGGGATGTTTACCGGGGGGCGGCTGCGGAAGGGAGCGGGCTGGGCCGGCTCCCCGCGCTCCGCGGTGCCTCCGGAGCGCAGCGCAGGCATGAGACCTGGGTAAGTTCTCCATTTAAAAATATTAAAAATAGACCCTCCGGCTCCATAGCGCTGCAGAGTGAGTCATTTCCAAACCAAATGTCTCAGTCTAACCCTTCCCCCCAGGAGACGCAATAATTCTGAAAYCAGGGGTGGAGGGAAAGAGATTCTTCTCCCGTCTTTCTCTAAAKAAATTGAATTAGCACTCAGAGGAGAACAAAAGCCATAAGAGTAGCTGGCCACCTGTTTAAAAAGTGRAGCGTAGCTCCATCCCTTTCTCTCTTGCCTTGTACCTCTCCCGTGCTGATGCCGCCCATCTTTCCCCAGCGTGCACTCGGAGCCTCTCTGCCCTAGGAATTATTTACAGCGCTTTCCAATTTCGTGGGCACAATYTGCTTTCCAGTTCCTTCAACTGCCAAACACATTCCCTACCACCGTSTTCTCCRTGGGACATCAGCCACAGCCACACGKCATTCCAGCAGTGACCCCAGTCCATGCAGCTCCTGGCTGGCTGTGSTGAAAGGAATAGTCCAAAGCAYAGCTRTTTTTTTYCGCCTTTTCCAGTCATATGATGATTTGTTCATGTAAGTGAGCTGTCTTGACTAGAGGGATATTTTGTTTGTCAAAAACAAGTGCTGAGCGTATTTATAGACAATGCGGCAATTTTGCCGTGTGGAGGATCTCAGTTATGCAGAACTTGTTGGTACCCTGGATCAGCATGCAAGACCTGTTTACATCGCACATATTGTGCTGTGTGTGTGTGCACATTTAATGTATATATCCACAGATCATGTTTCATGGTGAGGCAGCATGCACAAAGCACAGGAGCTGATATGTAGGTTACAGTTCTTTTCTTTTTCTAAAACAGATCCACAGTCCAGCTGTGCAGTAGCCCCTAACTGCAGTAGCCCCAGTATTGCCCCAAATCAGATGAGACAAGACTTTATGGTCTACTAATGAACTGACTTGCCTGAAAATCCCCTAGCTGCAAGTAAAATCCTATACTTTTACCTCTGTGAAGGTACTGCATTTTTGTTACCATTTTGACAACAAAAAATTACCTATAGAAAATCTGTGCAATAAATTATGCCARCTATTTTTAAGCCATGACAAGGATGTTAGGTTTGAAAACATGATCTGTGGTAGAGACCCAAAACTTTATGGCATGTCTGTTTAAGTAAGTGGAGAATTGTGTTGTAAAAGCACTTGCATTCTTGTTTTGCTGCTTCAATTCAACTTCTCCTATTAAAGCTATTTATACTTTTTACARCCAAGAGAGACCATTGTGATTGATCAACCTGCATAGGGTGCAGAGTGCTGAGAGATTTCTGCAGAAGACATGCAACTTTTAGCTGTAACATAGAAGAGATTAATGGACTTAGGGGTGATACCAAAGTACTGAACTAAAGAAAGAAAAGGTTATTCTCTTRTGTTCCAAAACACAAGAAAAAGCAGAGTTCAGATCCCAAGTATATGCAAATTTCACAATAATCTTGATGCAGTTCAAAGACAATGAATGGCATTCTTACTAAGATRCGGAGTCTGAGGGAGCAAAGTTCTTTGGCTTGGGTCAAAAAACATTGGTGTTTTTGTGAAGCTACGAGGAAACTTTTCTAGATGTGGATTATTCTTGGTGGTCCATGATGGGGGTCAAGCTGTTRAGTCAGGTGTAGTGTGATGCACTGGGTTCTGCATGGATGGCATTGGCAAGTTGGCAGTGACAAGGGTGGACAGGGAAGTGTGAGTGCACTCAAGCCCTTATGGGAGTYTTTTTTGATAGGTCAACTTAATTGCAATATTTCCTTTTGGCAGTTTTACAGCACAGTTGACAGTTTCTCATTTGTCTTCCACCTTCAAGATAAAATTCTTTGTAATTATTTTTATGCGGTGTGTTTATGGGTTGTCTGATATCACCTGAAACTCTGATAAGACTTTCAACGTTCRCTTTCAAAGTTCAGCTGGAACACAGGTAGTGGTTACTGAGTCCTTAGACCGTTTTGGAAGAATTTCAATACCTTAAATTTCCAGCAACCAAAGACAGAATAGGTGAGATATTTAACCTTTTATTTGATATAGCTTCTGTTCTTAAGRAAAAGGTGGAGGATTGGGACTGTAAAAAGTGGCAGACACATAAATACTAGAATTTTATCCTTTTTGTAGCTCATGTTCAGTGARTTCAGCTTTCATGTGACTTTTTTAGGTGCCTGTAGTATTTGTGCATTTTTTCCCCCATAATGTATGGCCTTTTGTACTCATTGTTCCTGCTGATGTGAGTTCAAGCATAAATATACACTGACTAAATATGTGCTGGGTTCCAGGACCTATTCAGTAGGGCATAACAACCTCCTTTTACCACACAAGAGGAGTTTAAGTGGACTGAGGATTTTTGCAAAACTAGAGCTGGCTGAGGATGGGCTGTGATATAAAAGCAGCTTCTTAACTGCCACGTTTTGTAGCCCCAGGGTTAAAAATGTTGGGCATACCTAGGTTTTTAATAACAACAGGACTGTGAAAACAGAAAGCAAGCAAAAAGGAATAAGAATGAAGTGCAAGAAAGCACAAAGATAATATWTTGTCATTCTAGCTGCAGCAGAGGTAGTTCTTAAATAATTTCAGTTGCTGACTTAGTGTTTAATTTTGATAAAGTATATCTTGCGTGCTTTCTGATTAACATTCCTAGAAAATGAAACATGTCATTACATTTAGACTAATAAKGACCTCTTTGCTTCTGAAACTGCATTTTTCTGTCACTCCATGCTTCTGCCTGGCATACAATCATAGAAACCTAATGTTTTGGGTTAGAAGGGACCTTAAAGATCATCTAGTTCTAACCTCSCAGCCATGGGCAAGGACACCTTGCACTGGACCAGGTTGCTCASAGCYCCATCCAACCTGGCCTTGARCAATTCCAGCTTCCCTAGGCAACCTGTTCCWGKGTTTCATCACCCTCACAGTACAAAGTTTCTTCCTAATGTCTAGTCTAAAMCTGTTTTCTTTACRTTTAAAGCCATTCCCCCTTCACCTATCACTGCATGCCCTTGGAAACAGTTCCTCTGCRGCTCTCTTGTAAGGCYCCCTTTARGTACTGGAATGTGCTGTAAGGTCTTCCTCGAACCCTCTCTTCCCCAGGCTGAGCACCCCCAACCCTGTTTATGTAGGAATGGTACTCCACTCCTCTGATCATCTTCATGGCCCTCTTCTGGACTCATTCCAGCAGGTCCTCATCCTTATTGTGTTGGGAGCCCCAGAGCTGGGTGCAGCACTCCAGGTGGGGTCTCAGGAGAAGAGAGCAGGGAGGGGCAATCACCCCATTTACCCTCTGGCCACGCAGCTTTGGATGCAGCCYKGAAYATGGTTGTGTTTCTGGGCAGCAAYTGCRCRTTGCTGGGTCATGTCAAGCTTCTTGTTCACCAACAGCCCCAAGTTGTTCTCCTCAGTCGCTCTCAATCCATTTTGGCCCAGCCTGGATTTGTACTTGAGCCTGCTCTGAYCCAGATGCAGCAATGTGCACTTGGYCTTGTGGAACTTCATGTTCTGGCCCTCAAACCTGTCAAGGTTCCTCTGGATGGCATCCCTTCCCTCCYGTGTGTGAACTGCACCACACAGCTTGGCATCATCAGCATTGTCCTTGTCACTGACAAAGGTGCTAATCAGTGCTCATCCCAGAACTGATGAAATCACTGCTTTCCACTTGGATAAGGAGCCATTGACTGCAACTCCTTGAGTGTAATCAACCTTTACCAAAGCATCCCTCTGTTCCTCTCTTGGGAATTCCCTTAGGAATTTGTTTGTGAATTTCACCACATTTGACTAAGGAAGGAATGGTATAAAAGGTCAAATGGTCTAAATGGTCAAGAAGATTTGTGAAAATAATTTTAGAGGCCATGCTGAAGGAATGGTTCTTTGTGTGTGCTCTTGCTTTTGGCATGGGTGAAATTCAGACGGGAAAGCAATGCTGGGTTAGTTTCTGGGTTTGCAGATGTATTTGTCTATTCAGTCCAAATACCTTTTCTACAGAAAGAGTTTGATAGCTTACTCATATTTCCGTGACTTAAGTGATACATTCCTGGCCTCTTTTTCTCCAGTAGGGGTGCATTTACTGGGGCATCTRTTAAATGTGGGAATACTGGCAGTGGAAGGAAATAACTAAGTGTGTATCTTTCTTRTTTTCGTGCCTGTTCCCATTTAGTTACATTTATTAAAAATCACCTGGTAATCAAGTAAATTTAAGAATAGAAAGTCCATTTTTTTAAATTATGTGAGTCCTAGGAATAAAAAAAATGTGTTTGAAATAAYACAGAATATCTACGATAGAAAACAAAATAACTTTGTTGTCTTTGATGGTACTTCTGTATAACAAGTTATTTATTTTTCTGTGTTCTTTACTATGGCTGGATCTCTTTAGTTCACATTGAACTGGTTTGCTTTGTGTTGTTACTGATTTCTTACATTTTTTTAATAATTGTACTGTCATATATATAGATGTGAAGTAGCAGTCTTACTTGTTACTGGCTGTAAACTCCAAAGGGGTTGCAGAGGTCTCTCAATTACAAAGAGGGTTTTCAAATCATGGTGGGATATACACAAAGGTTTTTGCTGCTCCTCATGTATTTCCTCTCACTCTTAAGCAGACTTTTGCTTTGAGTTTCAGGTTTGATTAAACCTCAGCAACTCAGAACATAACTGAGTGGATACCACTGAATTTATTTATAAATGGTTCTGTTATCAAAGCCAAGTTAGAGCTGTTTGTGAAGTTGTTTGAGATGTATTGTGAATAAGGGCATGGTGTGGGTCAAATTTGAAGAGGGAAAATACAAAAGATGTGGAAGGAAAACAGGGATGCTGGTGTCTGTTGTGGAGATGGGTGAAGATAGGAAGATAAGGAAGGTGAGATCTTGTTTTGGGTCGCCAGTGTTTTGTGGCAGTAAAATTGTTGATTGTGTGATTGCATACCAGAGTGTGARCACCAAGAGGGCTGTTTACCCCTGTTCTATTGATGTCACTTTGATRATGTATTTAAA